GTTCCTCTTCTCTACCACGGATTCACCAGCAGAGGCCACTTGTAGCTGCCACCCTGTGTTACTCCTGCTGGTCAGGGTCTGAGCTTCCCACCTCTCCCAGTGGTCATCCTTAGGTTAATTAGGTAGAAAATGGAGAAAAGAAAAGCTTTAACCCTATCTTCAAAGTAAGCAGATTGGTTATTTTTTTTTTTCCTTCCAAAGAGGTCCCATATACAATTAAAACTTGTTTCTGGTAAACCTCATTCCAGGAAGGATGAGCTTTTAACAAAAGGCTTTTGACAGCTGCAGGCGATTTCATTTTTTTTAATGCCGAATGAAAAATCAATACATTTTTCTGGGTTATACATATTCAGAACAGGCCTGATATTTCCATTATAATGGAAAGTGGGTGTCTGCGCACTTCAATCCTGTCAGAGCCGCACCACCGCATTTTCCAAGCTATTGCTAAATATTTCAAACCTGATTTGATTGTGGTTCATGACAGCTAATGTTTCTCAGCTCTTGAGCCTGCCGACAGGCAAACACATTTTATCTCCCCCCCCAACAAACGTCGTTCTCCCCCTTCTACCCCAAAGGGGGAAGAAAAAAGAGAGAGAACAATTTCATTCTTGGGGGATCACAGATTGGTGTATTATTTAAGGAACACGTTTGTGTAAGAGCCTTGGGTAGAGACACCCTGATTCTTAGGAGAATTTTCCGAATTTCGATCACATCGAAGCACGGTGGGGGCTTTGTCAGGTTTGAATTAATCTACATTATCCTGTTAAGAGTCAGGAACCGGGGGATTAGTCCTAATCATTGATTGACTCCCCTTTCCATCAAGCCTGTAAGCGATTTGTAAAATACCCCAATGGACACATCACTCGGCCCCCGTTATTTGAGGGGAACAGTATTTTTTTTCTTTACAACGGCGCCGTTTTCTTGTGGGTGACGCGTTCAGGAGGTGCGCGAGGCTGAACGCCGGCTTGGTGATGATTCCACTTCTATTTCTGGCTTCTGCCTAGTGCTGCTTTTTCACAAACCACGTTCTAGGTTCGTAAATGGTTATAAATCCTCCGTGGGGCTACCGGTTGGCACGGCTTCCCCCTACCCCCCAGCAGCCAGGCCTACCTTCCCTGATGTACAAGGTGCGTGATGAGAACAATTGGCATTTGTGGTGAGCAGAAGCCACCTGGGCTGGAGGGGAATTTTCTGGGATTATGGTTGCAGCCTTGCCAAAACTTTTCTGAAGCAGCCTTGGGAGGCTTCCCCTGTTAGGATGTGTTTACCTGCCAGGGCTCCCCCACCCGAGGGCTCTGCTCTTAACCAGGAGATGTGAGTGACGGGAGCGAGGCAGGGCAGGTCCAGCACTTGAAAGCGCTGTCTGGGAGCTGTGGAAAGGAGGTGCTGATGGAAAGAGATTTTTAGGGGCCGTCAGTCATGTTGTACGTGGAAGTGAAAAGCGGAAGGGACAGCAGGCAGAGGTAGCTAGTTTTCAAGACTGGAGTCCATTTCCTTAACCCTTTCGTCCACTCACACACAGGCTCGAGGGCCATTGCTGGGGACCCAGCCATCCAGGCTAACTTCCGCAGGGTTTTGCGGGGATCTGTGTGGGTTATGTGGCACCTGCTGCCTCCCGCCATGAACCAGAGCTCAATGGAGGCACGGTGGAGCTGATGAGCCCCACGTCTAGGCCCTGGTGACACCCTTGAGCAAGCGTAAAGCACTCCTGATGTGATCTGGCTGGAATCTGAAATATACGGTTTTAATGTGTCTGTTTCGGTCTTGAAAATATCCCAGTATCCCCGCGGCTTTGTGTGTTTTGGTGAGGAATTCCAAATCCCCACGTCTCTAGTGAAAGATGGGATTCGCCAGTGAAAAACCATCATTGTCCAAAACTTCCTCGTCTCCACCACCTGTCAGCAGTACATAGTATAGAAAAGAAGACGCGAGGCACTTGTAATGACCACTGCCCCCCCCCCCCCCCCGGCCAGTTGCCACCGAGGGAAAAAGCCATCTGTAATGGAGAGGACCAGTGTTAGATACACATCTCTGAAGGAAGCGAGGGCTCCACGTGCAGAACCTCTCTCTGCTTCAGAGTCCAGGAGAACCAACCTTCTCTAGGCCTGGCCTTGCTTTCCGGTTTGGGAACCAATAAAAACATACCCTGTCTGCGGAGCATTGTAGGCCTGAACTGCCCAGACAAATTCACAGTTTGTATCCTTGCTTTTTAATCATTTCTCTACCTTTATTGGTATTCAGAGCTCACAGATTTCCAGTTACTGTCAGCCTGGGCTTTCATCCATTTTAAAGAGTTCAATCCCCCCCCCCCCCGCCGCCCCTTCACTGTTGATGATGATGGTATAAAGACAGATGGTGTAGCTGCTTATGAATGTCCTATTTTATTTCTCCAGGACCAGACAGTTCACTTGGAGATGTATATTACTTCCACATGCTCAGGTTAAGCCGCCCAGACTTGTTCTGCCTCCTGCAGTCAGGAGCCCTCCTGGGCCTTGCCATGCAGAGGGCGACACCTGTAGGTGGCATGCTGAACTGCAGGGAAGCTTTTGCTTGGCTGAATGCAACTCGGTTTTTAGCTGAGAGGAAGATACTGATGCCCTGTAAAAATGAGCTGGCTTGTCCAGAAGCTTCTTAACCATTTCATCTACCGTGCATATGGCATTTTTAGTGAACGAACCACAGACAAATCAAGAAGGGGAAGACTTGATTTAAAAATCTTGAATTTAAAAAAGAGGAGCAAAATAAGCTCCTGAAACTACCTCACCAGTTAACCTGCTCATTGGAACTTAGCCACCTTCACTTTATATACATGCAGTAGGCCAGGAGAGAAGAAAGCAAAGCCCCAGGTGGGCTCACTGGGTCCAGGAATAGTCACAGAGCACCCACGCGGCTTTCTTGCTTATTACAGCAAGGTTCTGCCCATTCTTTGGTCTCTTGTCTTCTGAATACATTTGTTCGGCATGGGGTTGATACCAGATAAGAGTTATTAACTCTCTACTCCAGTAGCTAGTGGCTATATAACATGCAGGGGAGAGGCCGCTGGCCTTGGAAATGGTCATTCCTTTCCCTCTAGTTTTAGGTGTCAGACAGTCTCTATCTAACATGGTAATGGGTGTGTGTGCTAGAGAGTGGGAACTATTGGACCATTTCTAATCAAATTTGATGGAGGTATCAGTACTAGATATTTTACATCACAACATGTATTGAGACAAACGAGTATATTTTTGGAGACCCAACTAATTTGAGCAGACCCAATTTTACTGAATGCTGATATCACCATTTAAGGATGAATTTTACAGTTACAGTGCTGGAATTTTTTTAATCAAAAGCTTAAAAGTGTATAGGGACTATCTTGCCCAATCATAATTGAAATGGCACACGCATCACAGTGTGTAACTTGCTTGTTATTACGTATACTTTTTTTCTCTACTAAATGATGTATGGTGTTAATATTGAGCCATATATTTGATTAACTTCAAGTTATGACTGCTTAATTCTTCTTTGTTGGAATTAAAGGTGGGCTGGGCAGGCTCGAGGTTCACTTTACTGTGCAGCAACACAAAAAAAGGAGTGACAGGATTTATATATGGCACTCTTGGCTGGTGATGAAAATTAGCAGTGTTTTATTCCTTCTGTGCTTCCCATGACTCCCTCATACCCTTCCCCTCTAGTTGCTAATAAATAAAGAACATTCTCTGATTCCTAAATCAGTGGTTGATTCTAGTCATGGGATCTAGTCTGATTCCTGTGATCGGCCATTGGACCTGCTGCATTATCTTTCTAGAATTAGGAAAATCTGATTCTATAAAAAGGCCTTCTTCCTTGACTATCTGGAAACTCTCTGAAGTCAGTTTTTCTCTCCTATTCCCCCCGCCCCTTCTATGGTATAACATTTAGAGGCTATATTCTGGAGGCTTGGAGGTAATAACAGGTCAATTATTTTAAAGCAGAGTTGGGTTAGAGAACTCTTGTCTTAGTATTAGCCAGAGCACAGTTTTAGCCCATGGTATCCTGGTCCTTTGTCCCTTCTTGTGCCTTTAGGTGGCATGCGTGCATGCGTGCGTGCTTCTGTGTTTGTGTGTGTGTGTGTGTGTGTGCACACGTGTGCGCCCCTGATTTCACACTCGTACCTTGGTAGGCATAGCTCTTTGGTGCATGGTTTGGGTGTTTTTCTTGTAAATTTAGCCTGTTGCGACTTAATATTGGTGTTGGATAATGGGTCAAAGGGCCAGGAGAACTCTCTTGCCTTCGGTGTCTAGCGTATCTTTTCTTCTTTGCCACGTGGGCAGATGGCATTTGCTTCCTGTCCAATCTCGTTTTGAAAGGCCGGTCTTCCACCTTCACTGCAACCCTGTGTGCCAGCTGCAGACAAGTTTTCCTGTGTTGGTTTTCAACTATTAAGGAGGAAGGAATGGAATGACTTCCAAAAAGAAAGCGGATGAAGTCTGTGAGGAATTTTTATGCCTTGGCCTCTCCTCACCGACTCCGGCATGCAGTTAGTATGTGGAACTGTTTATGTTGAAGAAACTATCTTGCTGGTATTCTATGAGTTAAGAACACAAGTGACTGTCACGTTCACAACCACCACCAGCACCTGTGCAGACACTGCCTGGCCAATGATAGGTCTGTGTTTGGCTGTTTTGGTCCAACGACTCGATGTTCTGAGGTTGGAGCTAGGCATGAAGATAACGTGTAGCTACTTTCATTGCGTTTTGAAGGGTAAGAACCTGAGTTTAGGGACTGAGGATAGGAGTTAATTGCTTCAGAATCCATCTGAAAATGCCAAATGGCCACGTGCTTGGTGCGAGTCACAACCTCATACCAGTTGCTTCCCCGTGCCATGATACGTGCTCAGCACGCTCAGTCTCTCAGGGGCTGGAAGGAAGAGAAGAAAGACAATCTTTGGCATCTGTTGGGTGATCCTTTGAACTAGGGGCTCAGAGACCTTTCTCGTTTTTCTATGTTTCATCCCTGACCTCTTTGCCAACCTTCTATTTCAGAAGAAGCCATTGACGATGTGGAAGGACCCAGTGAGTCAGCTGCCGATCCTGAAGAGCTTGCTAAAGACCCGGAGAGTGGAGGCGAGAAAGACCAGAGCAAGTGGACAGGTAGTGTGCGGCTGACCCCGGCCCCCTGGCATTCTCCTCTGCAGGAATGGCATCACTACATCCAGGAGGAAATGCATCCTTCATCGTACCCCCAAATCCTATGTCGGCTCTGAGTGAGGAGGACAGGGATTTTGTTTTGTTTGGGCAGTGGTCTCCTTCGCTCCCTGTTATAATATTGACCTTTTTCAAACGACCCACAAGCCACCTTGTGTATTCTCCACCCAGGTGTCAGGCTGTGTGCCTCAATTTGTTGAGCTCAGGTTTCTCGACTAACGCCTTAGCGTGGGTGTGTTTGCCCTGCGTGTCATCGTTGAAGGTTCAGGAAGGAGATCGGTTCCTTGCGACTGGGTCAGGCTCACCCGCATCCCAGCCTCAGGATGCTCGGAGGCAGTCAGCAGCGGAAGGCGAAGGTGGTCATTGTCTTAGTTTCGGCGCTGCGGCAGGGCCTGCCTGTTCTTTATGTCCTGCCCTTAACCCGGGGCCAGCACCCACATGCTGGGGGGGGGGGCAAGAAAAGGGGGGGTCACACACAGGGGAGGACAGACCGTGTAGCCAGGCAGGAGGAATTGAGGAGAAAAAGCAGAAGAAATTGAAGAAGCCAAGACAGGAAGTGCTATTTGTAGAAAAGCTGGTACTGAGAGAAAGGGAACAGCCATTTCTCAAGATGACAAGATCTCTGTATTGAGGGAAAGAAAGCTGGCGTGAAAAAGAAAAGCCCTGAGTGATTTTAGCAGAGTGGTCTCTAGAAGACCTGCTGGCCAAAGAAGTCTCCCAGAAATCCCCACAATAAGGAGAGGAAATGATAGAACAAATAACCGAAATTATTTAATTTGGTCAGGCTAATTCTTACTACCATCATTAATATTATAATACTTTGATATTTTTTTTTTTTTAGAAAACTGTTTACCTTTCTGGGTCCCTATTGGTGAGGCCTTTGTTACTTTTCCAGGCAAGACTGTTCTTAAATCATTTCAGTGTTGGCCTTCACTATTTAAACAAGATAGAGAATCTTGGAGAGAGGCCAGAGGAAAGCAATGAAAATGACTGAAGACTAGAAATACTGCCTGGGAGAAGAGGCTGAAGGAATTGGGGCTATTCAGCTTAGAAAAGAGAGACTCAAGAGGCAGTGTCCTGGCTTCCAGATATTGAGAGGAATTGGCAGAGGAGGCAACAGGCCATTGTTGGGTTTCCTGGGAGATAGAGAGGGCAGCTGAGTGAGTGGAAGGGCGCACACCAGGCACGTTTCACGGCCCATGCTACTTAGCGCCCCCTCCCGGCGGAGGGTCAGGCCCACACAACCCAGGAGGATTTCCAGCATAGGACTAGGAAGTAGATGCTGAGCATTTGTGGATAAGGCCCACCTGGGCATGCGGGGGGGGGGGGGGGATTTCACCTGTGTTGCTTTGCCTGAGCCAAGAGCACTTTTTTTTTTTTTTTTTTGCCAGAATAGTAAGGTGAAATCTGAACAAATGCTTCAGGTAGTAATCAGATCTACCTGCACTAAGGAGATGATTAGGGCAGAGGATTTCACTGAACGCTGTAAAGATGGGGTGATCTTCCAAACCATCTGTGGGTTTTCACGATTTGAGTACCTGTTTCCTAAGCCCACATCTGCTGCTTGCTAGGTGTGTGACCTTGCTTGAGGTCCCTGAACCTTTCTGTGCCCCAGTTTCTTCATGAAATGGGAATTAAAAATTATAGTTAATGCTACAAGACTACTACGAATATTATTTGAAAATGGAAAGTTTAGAACGGTGCCCAGGCTGGGCTCTAGTGGCTCACATTGCTGATCCTAGCTACTCAGGACGCTGAGATCTGAGGATCACGGTTCAAAGCCCGCCAAGGCTGAAAAGTCCCCATGAGACTCTTACCTCCAATTTACTACCAAAAAAACCCAAAAAACCAAAACCACAGAAGTGGCACTGTGGCTCAAAGTGGTAGAGCACTAGCCTTCAGCAAAAGAGCTCAGTGACAGTGCCCAGACCCTGAGTTCAAGCCCCATGACCACCACCACCAACAACAACAACAACAAAGAACAGTGCCCATTATATAGCAAACTCCATAGAAGGAGTTTGTTTAATTAGATAAGCTGAGAAAAAATAACAGTTTTGGATAGGTTTTCCAAATGAATGTCACCCAGGTGCGTGGTTGTAGGTGGTTTCTAGGATGTTGAAGAGCTGGCAGCAGGAATAGCATCCAACTGTCTAGTGGGATCTGCAGCGAATACTTGGTGCACTGCATGCCCAGAGTACTCTATAAACAATACAAGAATCCACTCACTGGGCTGGGAAGGTGGCTCAATGGTAGAGTGCTTACCTTGCATGTATGAGGCCCTCAGCACCACATAAGCAGAAAAAGCTGGAAGTGGCACTGTGGCTCAAGTGGTAGAGCGCTAGCCTAGAGCTCAAGAGCTGAGGGACAGCGCCCAGAGTTCAAGGAAAGAAAAAAAAAAAGAGTCCACTCACTGCTTGCAAAGCTCCTACTGTGTGCAACACTGTGTGCCAGCAATTTTGCATGTACTTAAGTCCTTATGTCCAATAGAGGGCAGGCTTTGTTGAACAGAATGTTTATAATTCAGAGGGAGTGTGTCTGCATAGGGCTAGTGGACCTGCCAGGCATTCATGAGCCTACTAAAAGATGTGAAATGATCACCATAAATGTCCTTAACAGAAATTAGTTTTGTTTTTTTTTTTACTTTGCTTATGTGGTGCTGAGGAATCGAACCCAGGGCCTCAGGCATGCAAGGCAAGCGCTCTACCACTGAGCCATCTTCCCAGCCCCATAAATGTCCTTAAAAAGGCTCCACTTTTTTATGAATTCATTGAAGTAACAGGCCAACTTAATCTTTAAGATCTCTAAAAGACAGAGAGAATATGAATGAATGAATGAATGAATGAATGAATGACTCAGAGATGTACCCTGGTAGATGCACAGTAGGAAAGAAAGAAGGGAAAATTTTTCCTTGGCTCCTGTAATGATCCTCTTTTGCCCTGAGGCATAATTTTGTCTATAGCATCTGAGTGTGTAATGACAGGCTTTATTAAGGTACTTGGGCCAGTTTGATCTTGGAATCGATGTAGGTGCCAACAATCTTTTCTGAGATTTCTTTTGGATTCTTAAGTGTTTTATTTTTTTTTAAGTCTACATTTGTTCTGTTTACTCCCTAAATTGAGCTGTTCCTATCTGATTAAATGTGACAGGAGTACTTCCACCCAGCAAATAAATAAATAGTGATTTCACAATTTGTTCTGTTGATTAGTGGCTGCTCATGATGCAGATTAATAATATTTCAGTTGGGCCTGGATAATTGGCATTTTCTCAACTATTGATTATGTAGTTTTGGGGTTTGTGCAGGAATGGATAATCTTTATTGAAATTTTAGGTATGTGTGTGTTAAATCAGAATAGGACTTTTGCTTTTCTTTTTGGGTATCCCTCTTTGAGCAGCATCAAGATGGTGATTTGAATCACGGCATTGATGATCCTGTAGTCACAAGTTCATTGAGATTATAGGCCTCTCAGATGAGAATTTCAAGAATGCCTAGCATCATATAGATCAGTGTTGTCCTTTGGAACTTCTGTGCTGAGGTTCTGCATCTGTCCTGCACAATGCAGTAGCCTCTAGTCTGCGTGACTGTGGAATACTTAAAGTTGGGCTAGTATGGTCATTCACTGAGTAAGTAAACTTTAAACATCAATCGATTCAAACAGTCCCGTGTGCAGCTATCGGTGGTCCAAAGGAACATCTGAAATCCCGCATGGCAGGTATACCTTTGCAGGTCCTGTGAAGGCTGCTTTAAGCTCTCTTCCATGCTGGGCACCATTCTAGTGCTTCACACCTGTTCTTGCTTGGCAGGCTTGCCACAGGGACACACAGATGCATGGGTGTTGCTCCTCATGGCCCCTGAGTTGACCAGGTGGGGCTGGGGAGCTTCTAACATCAGGTTTGCTTATAGTTTTACCTGTTCCCAGTTGGGTCATTTTTCTCTGGGTGCCATGAGGAGAAACAGATTTGGGAAGCCCTGATTTCCACGCATCCTCGCATTGATTCCCCACCCCTGCTCTGTGCGCTATATTAAATAATTGTCTCGCCCCTACCATGTTGCGAATAAGGAATACCAAAAATAGGTTCAAACTTTCACATTGCTTTGCCCCTTAACCGATTTAAGATTTACCTGAAATTACCTTTTACCATGATGCTCTGCAACTCTTCAACAATGAACCTCTCAGTTCATTTGATCCAGGTTTCCTTTCTCTTCAAAACATGAAGAGTTAACACTTTTGCCAGGTACTGGTGACTCATGCCTGAAGTCTTCCCTGCTTAGGAGGCTGAGATCTGAGGATTAAAGTTTGAAGACAACCCAGACAGAAAAGTCCATGATAACTTTATCTCCAACCATTCACAAAAAAACCAGGAATGGAGCCATGGTTCAGATAGTAGAGCACTCTCCAGTAATCCTAGCACCTTGGGATTATCTCAGGCTGAGATCTGAGAATTGAGGTTCAAAGCCAGCCAGGCATAAAAGTCCTTGAGACTCTTGCTTTCCATTAACCACTAAAAAATTTATGCCAGATGTGGAGGTATGGCTCAAGTGGTAGAGCACTAGCCTTAAGCAAAAAAGCTACAGGAAAAAACCCAGCCTCAGTTCAACCCCAGTACAGGGGTGCGTGTGCGCGCGCGCGCACGCACACACAGGCACACACACGAGTAACACTCTCCCAAAGTTGTCCAGAAGAATAATAACACAACTGCCACCAGTAGGTTCAAAATGAACTAAACCATCAGCCAAGAACAGGCCATGGACGAGCCCTTGTTATATTTAATCTGAGAGCAGGTTGAGGACATAGAAAAATCTTGTGGCTATGGAGTCAAGAGCCCTTCCAGCTAGCAAATGGTTTTGGTGGAGAAAGTTGGCCTTTGGAAGGCTTGAGCATCTCATCTGTGAACCACCCAGCAGCTCCAGCCACCTGCATGTTCTGTGATGGGGAGCGGTGGGCACG